TTCGTTATAGCGTTAACGAAGATTCTTATAACGAAGTCCTGATCGGCTGGATCAGCAACTTCGTTATATCGAGGTGTGACTGTAATAAGATTTTAATATTATTAATATCAAGATTTAATTATTCCTTTTGAAGTATTTTTTATAAATCTTTTCTGTTTTTTTTGTAAAGTATGTATTTATACTTATTTTTCTAATTTATCTTATAAATTTTTTATTAAATTAAGATCCAAACTTTATATAAGTCAGAGAATACTATTCATATTATGTTTTTTTTTTTAACTTTTAATAATTTTTATAGTATATATAAGAGCATTATTATAATTTTTTTGATTGTCTAAAACCTTTTTAAATAATTTTATAATACATTCTTATTGTAGTTGTTATCTTCCTTTTAATTTGCTAACAGATTAAAATTATGTTTTATGAAGTATTTTTATACTATTATTCCTTATTAACCTAAATTTATTATTTATTATAAAAATTAAGTATTTTATATTACATATTTTATAAGATTACTTCTAAATTCACCTTTTAACCATTTTCTCTAAATAATTCACATTTGGATTCATCACTTCAAATATTTCAAAATGATATTTTTCTATTTATTTATTCACTTATTTTATTATTATTATTTAGCTTAAATAAGTCTTTTTACTTATTTTTTTACTTACATAAGGTTTTCTTATACTAATGCAACCATAGAAATCTTATTTATAAAAATAAGTACTTAAAGTCTTTTTACTAATATTTATTATTTATATAATTTCTAAAGGATTATTTTTCTATAATCTTAACAAGAAAGAAAGAAAGTCAAAATTCAACCCGATAGTTATTGATATATTAAAGTAGTTTTGTAGTGATATATTATAGGTTAAGACCTGATTTGTATTTATTTTTTTGCGTGTTGTATCATGCTATTATTGTATTAATAAATTTTTTTTTCGTTTACCTGAGGTATCTTTCCCAGTATTACCATCAAAAATTCTACCCCACGTGATCATAGAAATATTTGTTACCCCACGTTACACCCTTCACATTTTCCATTTTCATAAGTATTCTGGGAACTTAGAATTTTTTCGGGATGCGAAATCATATTCGTCACCTTTTATATGTCACATAGTTAATTTCTTAATGCTGTAATGCCGGCAAAATGTCACGTGGAGGTAGAATTTTTGGTGGTGATACTGGGGTAAATTACCTGAGGTAAGGGAATCATGTGAACTTTTAATTTAAGAAATTTCAAACTTATATAAAGGCAATATCGAAAATGCAATCTGAGAAGGTTAACAAAGGTTAATCGCAAATTTGACGTTCCTAAAAGATATTCTCTTTTATTTGTTACAATTTTTAATCTAATTCTTTTAGTTCAATAAAATGCCAGACTTATGACTAAGATACTTAGCTATACATATTTTGAATTTAAAATGTTCAGTGAAAAGCAATAATTTTTATTACATGTTTTTGTAAAATAAATCAATCGCAAAGAAAAGAAATAGCTATTCTGACTTTATGTTTTAAAATATAAAAAAAAGGAGATCCTTTTTAGCATAAGCTAAGCTATTCTGATTTAATGTAGAAAAGAGGAGATTACTTCTTTTTATCAGTCTCGTTTTTTTCTGAGAACATTTTGACACCAGCAATTATATCAGTCTCGTATTTTCACATAAACAATCTTTTTATCAGTCTCCTTTTTATTGGAAGTACTATTCAAGCTAATAAAGCTAGTAATGATTGAAACAGTGCAACCAACCAAAGCGAAAATTATCTTGTTCTCGGCCTTGGTGATCCTATTTTCGATAGCCTCAGTTTGACTTTTATCGATGTCGTGTAATACCGATTCTTTTAAAGTAAAATCTACTTTATTGTTCCATTGAGGTGACTCCAGAATCTTGTTTTCAGAAGTAACATGTCTTTTGAACAAGCAAAATGATGAACATTATAAAAACACAACAGATAACAAAAAATAAAAGATCATATAGAAGACGTACCACCAAATGGTGATTTATTGCAAGAACCAGTGTTGGAGGAAGAGGTAGCACCAAGAGAAGTATTTCTTAATTCTAAATAGAAAATGAAAAAAAATAAACAATATAAATCATAATAAAACAAAGATATATGAAAGACGCACCACTAGGGTCTTCGAAATTGGAACTTTTGAACGTAAGGTGCGGTTGAAAATGGCTCTGAACATCTTTATAGTTACAGAAATATAATTCGAAGTTTTTAGAGAGAAATTTAATAGTTTCGTTTTTTATATCAATTATCCTTATCCTTGATGTAATCATAGTAAGAATTTAATTTATCAGTACATTACTCATTAGATTGCCTCGGTATTTATTAAAAAACTGATGTGGGATGAACAAAAAAAGTTCGCGATTGTAGCACTGTTCGGTCATGTGAGAAACGATCACCTGAAATGCGCAGTATGATATCGGGAAAATTCTTGCCGGCTGTGCAACGTGCGGAGCTCACATTTTTTTTTTTTATTTCGCTTCTATACCTGCCCGGAGAAAATATTGGAGACGAAACTTACTTAGTAAAGTGCCGGACAAGATAATACGTAATTAATTTTCGGCTAAGGCTGAGCATTCGCAAGGAGGCGTCTTCAGAACTTGCAACTAATACATAGTTTCCATTTCAAGAGCCAGTAAGTAGAATAGACACAATGAATAGGATAGGCTATCATGTATCAAGAGAAGCGGGTCCCCTTTAGGACCAGCGCCTTTCGGCAGAGCAAAGTCCTGAACTTGTAATTATTTAATGTATTGCAAATAAAAAGCTTATAACTCTTCGCGTATGGATAGTAGAGTAGTAATGGACGAATTGATAAGGATTATTTATGTTAATAGTTGATCATACACACACTAATGCAGGGCATTTAGGGACGAAATCTTAATTCGTGATCGGTAAGTTGGATTTTCAGCGAAGCTCTGGGATTTTCTTTGTTTTGCGACTATCTCTGTGGACCTAGCGTAATAGGTGCATCTATTATTTCACCGCAGATCAAAGAGCAATCAGATTAAGGGGGAAAAGTGTATTAGTAGGAGATGAATGTGAAAGACACGCATAAGAGCATTTATTTCATTTCTCTTTACACTTTACCACCACTATGGCCAGTGAATCTTCTTCCACTGCGAACCTTCGGCCAGCACTTCTGAAATTCAAACAGATACTTCCCAACTCGAAGTATTCGCATTAATGCTGACGAAATAGCAGAGGTGTCTCATTACTCTTTATTTTTTTCTAGAAATCCAGATGGTGAAGAGGGCAGATGATGTCAGCATACAAGAAAACGAAACCCAATCAAGTAGAAATTGGTCAAGACAAACCTCCCCAAGGATTATCCGCGAGCAAGAAAAATTCCAGGGCCTGCTGAGAGAATTATTTACGCCTGCCAAGGGTGAGTAAGCTGAAGTCGATGACAATGATGATGTAGGTACTTCTGTCTTCCAGAGCTTAGCCAAATTGTATCAAAAAGCAATTCGCGCCGGATTGCGTGTTGCAAAGGCAAATCAGGAAGAAATTTTGTGCTGGTATCGATATGCAGAGGGATGTGAAAAAAGAGTAAATGGTATTAGGGCGAATAATGTTTAATATCAAATTTTAATAATGATATATTAAACATTATTTTAATATCTAAGTTTAAGTTAAAAAAAAATGATGTATAATAAATGTTATTTTCATATAAATGATAGATAACAAACAATCTAAATAAAAATAATAAAAGTATTTATATTTAAATAAGTAGAATATTCTATAATATTTTAACGTTTCTTATTTTTATTATCTTTATTATAAATTTATATAATTATCTAACAAATAATATTTCAAAATAAAAAAGCTGTTATTATTTAATTTACACTTATTAAAGTTAAAATATATATTGGTATTTTTTTATTGTAAACCTAAGATTAAAATGTATAATTAAAATCTAAATTAATATTTTTTATTTATAAATTTAGTTTATATAATATGTAATACTATTATGTAAAATATTATATTGTATAATTTTATTTAATAAATTTACAAATTATAATATTATAAAGTTGAAAATAATTTTAGATTTGAAGAAATAAAGCTTAATATATATAACTATTGATATATTAATAAAAATAAAAAAAAAATATATTTAATTAATAATATTTTTAGTTAAAAAATATTAAATAGATACTTAAAAAAAATAATTTTAATAAAATAAGATACTTATTTAATATAAATAATATAAAAAAATTATTTTTAATCTAGAAAAGATTGATTAATACATAAAACTTATATTATTATGATCTGATTTACATATAATATTAGAAAAAATAATAATAAAAATATCTATAAATATAATTTTTATAAAGTAATATTAGAATTTATAAGAAATAATTAAAAATATGATTAAAATAATATTAAAATACAGTTAATTCTCTATAAATACATTCTCTCTAAATGCATATACTATATATTTTCTTTCTAAATATATGCTCTTATTCAATTCTAAATATATAGAATTCATATAAAATTTTCTTAAACACATATTTTTTAAAATTATCACTATAATCCTAAAAGGATGCATTTAAAAAGAATTAACTTTATTAAAATAGTTAAAATAACTAAAATTAATAATATTTAAAATAATCTAAAATTAATAATATAAATTATAATAATTTTATAACCAATAATTTAAATTAAAAAATCATATAAATTTTAAATTTTATTTTAATTAATAATTTAAATAAAACACTAAATTATTTTAATAATTAATATAAATTTAAATTATATATTTCAATATTAAAAAATATACTATACCATTTTAAAAATAAGTATCTTATAATATACTCCTTTTTATGATAATTTTTTATTTGTTGCTCATATTTTATTATATTATTTGTTATATCAAATAATAAAATATTTATTTGTCACTAAATACTTATTTTAAAATAATGCAATAAGTTTAATAGTAAATAAATTAATAAATTTATAATATTAATTTAATTATCATTATTATTTAATTATAATTTTAAAAATTTATTAAAAAAATAATATAAATTTTTGTAATTATTTTTTATTAATAAATTTAACAAATTTATTTATTTAATATTATAGTATAAACCTCTATAATAAAATTTTTACTAAATAAAAATGAAACAAATTTAAATGCAAAAAAAATTTATTATATATAAAATTTAAAATTTAATTCATAAAATAAATAAATTATATCTTATATTTTAAAATTTTTTGATTAGAATTTTAATATTTTTAATATTGATAATACTAAATTAAATTTATTTAAAATTAATTATAAAAACTGAAATTGAAAAAATAAATGATGATAAATTTATAAGAATAATTTTATCGTTAGTACAAAAATCTTAATTTTAAGAGAAAATTGAAAAATATGATTATAAATATATATTTTATTTTAAATATTATTATAAATTAAATTATATAGAAATATATTATGATGCAAAAAAATATATATAAGAATATTATAATTACATATGGGTTGAATTATAACAAATTATTCTTTAAGTATTAAATTCAATTTTTGTAATTTGAAAATATGCATAAAAATTATGGTGATATATGAATATTTATAAAAAGGTATTATTAGAAAAAATAGTAGAATTTGTAACTAAAATATATAATTTTAAATTTTAGTTTCTGATTGACTCATATATATATTATATAATATTATATTAATAAAAAAACTGATTTAAAAACTGCTAATATTTAATTTATAAAATGAAAAAATTAAATTTAATTATAATTTTTAATTTATATAATAAACAAATCAATAAAAATAATTTTAAATTAAACAAATTTTTAAAAAGATTTATATTAATTATTATTTAAATAATAAAAAAATTAATTTAATATAGAAAATTATTTATTTTTTTAGATTAAAAATAATGTATATTATTATTTTAAATTCTCATTTTTTATTAATACTAGACTTTTTTATAGATAGAATATTTAATAAATTTTATTAAAAAATAAATATTAATATAATAGTAGATTCACAACTATTAGATTTGAATAAATTTATTAATAAAAATTTTAAATAAAAGTAACTTTAAAAATATTTATATTTATATATTTATAATTTAAATAATTAACTATTTTTATATTGATCATAATTATATTATAATTAAATAAATAAAGAAATAAAAAAGTTATATTATAAGTAATTATATTCAAAAAAAAACTGCTTATAATTTAATTAATAAATACATAAAATACTGTAGATTCTCTGTTTGTAAAAATAAATATTTAATAATAAAATTATAAAAAGTAATATTTATAATAATGCAATTATATTTATTTTAATTATCTAAAAGAAAAAAAATAGTATTAATATAATATATTTATTATTATATAGAGATAATAATAGTTAGTTATACTTAGTTAATAGTTGATCAATGATTAATCAATAGTCAATATAAAGTAAATGATCAATTGATAAATTAATTTTAACTAACTAATAAAGCTGAAATTGTAACTATAAAATATTAGTTATTTTTATATATAATATACTATATATTATTATTAGTAAGATTGCTGGATAAAATCTAAAGGTTTTGCATATCATCTAAATAAAAAAAAGTAAAATTTAGCAATTATATTAAAATATTATTAAAAAATCTGCAAAATTCTGAAAAAGATAAAACTATATCAAAGCTTATAAAAATGTGAAACTATATTAAAATATTAGTGATACTAAAGATTAAATATTTTGTCAAATTTAAAATAAGTTTAGATAAGCAATCTTAATTATTAGTTTTTATTAATACATTAAAAATTAGATGCAAAGAAAATAATAGGTATTTGATTAATAGATAATTTTTGCTAAATAATTTATAATTTATAATATTATTATTTTAAAATTTTATATTTGATATTTATTATTTAAAATTTTCATTAAATATTTTTTTAAAAAAATAAATTAAAATTTTTTTTTATAAAATAAAAATTCTTTTATAATAAATAAATAAAATTATATATTAATTTAACAATTATAATTTATTTTATCATATTATTCAAACTTAACATTTAATTTTTAGCAATAATTTATTATATATGAAAATCATATTAGCAAATAAAAAATTATTATTTTTTATATTTTTATTATCGCCATTTTCAAATAGTATACACAATGCATGCATGCATAAAAATTTGATTTCCTATTAAGAAAACTGAATATCAGATTATCACATGATTATATCAATAATTAACCAATCAAATATAATCAATTTCAACCATCTTATTTTCCTAAATAACGTATTCCAATACATGTATATTCATTCAACTCCTTAAAAATGTACTAATAAAATGCTACTACTATATAAATATTAAGTATTAAAAATTTTTATTAAGGTTCGTGTTTTATCATTTTAAAACGTATCTTTATATAATAGAGTACCTTATCGGTACTTACCTTAATTGCAAAAAATGTCTTTACTGTGAAACTGAATTTAGTATTTGAAAAAGAACATGTTCATGTAACAAAACTATCAAACCAAGTAAAAGCAACTGAACTGATAAAGTTAAAGTTGCATATCCTCGAGTTTTAACGCCTAACTTATCACAAAAACAATTTGAATATATTCAATAAAGTATTACTCGTTTTGGTTATTCATTAGATATTAACACGAAATTTAATTTTAATTTTTATGCTACTTGTAATAGTGCTTTTCAAAGGAAAAAGGCTCATAACTTACCCAATACTACTCCAAATTCTTCTGCCTCAAACATTTCTATTCCAAATTCTTCTACCTCAAATACTTCTATTCCAAATACTTCTGTTTCAAATTCTTCTTTAAATTCTTTTATCTCAAATTCAAAAAAAGTATTTCAAAACTATCTTAATACAAATGATTATGATTTAAAAAGTGATGAATTAACTAATAAATTTGTGATAATTGAATTGAAAACTGAACAAATAATTTTATTCAATTTGGTAATAAAACCTTCTGGTAGTCCTGCATTACCATCTAAATGGATAGAAATAGAAGTATCATCATTAGATGATTTTCTTACAGATGTTCATCATTATGTTGAAAATTAATCGGTAATAAAAGGATTATGCATTCAGATTATTTGGTTACATTTAAACCAGAAAAAGTTGCAGGATCCAGAGCACAGTTGGTAGATATGCAAGACTACAAGAAGTTTCTTTTGGATTATAAGAAATTATCAGATGGAAAGAAAAATTTGACAATTATGGCATCTTTAAAGAAAAAAGAAAAAAGAAAGGTAAAATATTTGCTAATTATTGTAAATTATTATAAAGCATATTTAATTTATAGTATTTTTTTTTAGGATATTTTAGATTCTGAAAAATCAGATTATGAAGATACTAATTTGTGTAAAAAGAATAAAAAGAAAAGTATTGTGAAATTGGATGATTTTTCAGAAATATTACAATAAGAAGGACATGTAATTCGTGAACTAAGGAAGTAATACACATGTAATCAACATGATACATGCTTTATTAATGATAGATGACATACAAAGCTTACTGCAATGCATCTCCAATACTGGGCTAAGGAAATTGTAATTATTTTACTATTTAAAATTATAGAATTATCAAAACAATTATTAACTATAGGTTTTTTTATTTTTAGATTCAAGGTACTACTGATAATACTCAAATACCAAACTTACCAATTTTTTTGCAATCTAATAGTATCAAAGAAAAGTTTACAACACCTTCAACTCCAGCAAATTTAATGCCTTTTTTTTTGCTATGCTACCTCAAATGGCTTCATTTGCACAAAATTTAAACATGAATAATTCTTTAGATTCATCATTAATTTCAAAACAGCCAATTCCACTTCCATCTCTTGATGAATTTTTTACTAAATTAGATGAATCGTCAGGTGATATCGAAGAATTTACAAGATTCAAAAATATTTTTAAAAATAAGCGAATTACTGTAGATCAAATTTATGATCTTACAGATGTGGAATTTGATCAATTAGACGTAAATAAAATTAGATGGTGTAAAATATTTAGAGCTGCAGAACAGCATTACAAATAGTATTATAGTATAGGAGTATGATATTATAGTTAGTAATATGATGTTACAAATAACAATAATTTTGAATTTTATAATAAATGATTTTTTTTGAAATTAATACGCCTATTATAGTTAATAATATATTCTCTTAACCTTTAATTTATCTTTTTATTATTTAAAATGTCTTCGATAAAATTTCTATTTATTTTGCTATTATATATCTAAGATCAAAGTAAACTTAATCTTTATAAAATATATTACATATAAATTGAATCTTCAAAAAATTTTATAACCATATGTGAAGTAATTTGAGCACATGTAATAAGAAGAGGATATTTAGAATTATTATATGAATTAACAAAATCTCTATATTTTTTTAAGAAAGATTTTATAACGGAAAAACTAGATTCAATAGGATTGAAATCTAGAGAATAGGGAGGTAAAAATTCAACACATCCACTAAAAGATTTGATATATTTTATGCGATCTCTGTCATGATAGATTCGTGCATTATCAAATATAAGAATACTATGCTCAGCAGGATATACATTCATTTGAGGTACCTGGTATAAAAAAAAAGAACAATGAATAAAAAAAATACATAATAATATTTTATCAGAAAAATTTTAACTTACTACATTTGAAACAACAAATTCTTTAAATCTTTCTTTGGAACAACTATCTTTTATTATATCTAATGCTTTGAACGGTTCAGTTTAGTCTGGATTATAGGCCAATCTGAAACTGAACTGAAAATTCCAGTTCAGTTCAGTTCAGATTATAAATCTTAAAAATGCCAATCCAAAACTGAACTGAACCGTAAACCGGTAAAAATCTGAACTGAACCGAAAATTTCGGATTAATCTGAAAGTTCAGTTTGATATATTTGAATCTCAAAGGGAACCTAATGTGCGATTCTCTAAAGAGTTTCGCAATTATTTCATGATTCCCTTGGAGTTTCGCAAGTAATTTGCGATTCTCTTAAGAGATTCGCAAGTAATTTGCGATTCCCTTGGAGTTTCGCAAGTAATTTGCGATTCTCTTAAGAGTTTTGCAATTACTTTGCGATTCCCTTAGAGTTTCGCAAGTAATTTGCGATCTTCTTAGAGTTTCGCAATTACTTTGCGATTCCCCTTAGAGTTTCGCAAGTAATTTGTGATTCTCTTAAGAGATTTGCAATTACTTTGCGATTCCCTTAGAGTTTTGCAATTTCTTTGCGATTCCCTTAGAGTTTCGCAAGTAATTTGCGAATCTCTTAGAGTTTTGCAATTACTTTGTGATTCTCTTAGAATTTCACAAGTAATTTGCGATTTTCTTAAGAGTTTCGCAATTACTTTGCGATTCCCTTAGAGTTTCGCAAGTAATTTGCGATTCTCTTAAGAGTTTCGCAATTACTTTGC